TTGAATCTTCACAATTATTTTATTATACAACCTTAATGTACGTTAACATGAATTTTTACAAAACCATCAATATCTTCGAAACTATAATGAAAAACTATATTTATTTAAATAAGGATTTATTCTCAATGTTCACTGACGAAACTATACTTACAGAAACCCATCATTTATTTCTGGATATGATATGGACATTTTGGTACAATGGGCTTGAAACTATGCATATTAGAATATAATTTTTATCAAATTTGAATCAAATTATTTTTAATGTTATAAGCAAACTTTATTATTATTGCATTTAGGGCGATGATAATACAAAAAACGTACACGTGTATGAAACGATGTTATGAAGCGATTAATTTTTGAAATCAAGAAAATTCAATGTACTATATTATCAGACCATATGCTATATACAATCAATACGTTTCGCGCCAATGCTCGAATTCAATATTACGAAATGTAAGAAAGACGTTGATTATTTATTACACCTTCAACTGCTATTCATTTTAGCTATTTGATTCAATTCAATTACCAGCGGATAACGGTGATAAAATCGTCCGTATACCTATCATTAGAGAAAATAATATCAACGTATAATTGTGAAGATTCGGTGATATTTATTTGAGGCCAAGATGTTTATAACTTATTTTATCACAAATAACAATATTGTAAGTCGATTACAATATATTTGTTAGCCGATAAAACTTTGATATTTTACAGAATCTTTGGACGTTAAATCTACAATAAAATCGAAATTTAATAAACAGTTTATAGATAACTTTGAATGTTTACATCTTAATTTAGAATTTATTTATTTATTGCTTAAAGCAACGATTGGAATATGTTTAGTTAATAATAAAAATGAAACAATTTTCTAAACAAGAAAATAGGTTTCGGATGTATGCTTAATGTATGTCAATTTCACAATGTCAACCAGCTTCTCTACACCCGCTTTCCAGCTTATTACTTATTCAGTTTGATGTTTGATCCTGTTCGCTACAATTCACCTGTGAATTCGAAGTCATGCAAACTTCTTGCACTTAACTAACACTCTTGATATCACATTGGTTTCATTTGAAATAAATACACAATAGTCTTCGTAAATATAAACATTTTATTATTCAAAAAACATAAAAGTGTAACGCTGTACGTTTTCAGCATTTCATGAAAACTTTCACATTTTTGCATGAAAATTCTGCGCGTTGCACACATCTGTCAAAAAGAAGCAGATGCAAATACGGATGTACAGCACATAAACGTACTGCGCTGTAAATGTGCCCTACTGAATAATTCATAATGTTGCTCTACCTTTAAGGCTTAGAAGTGATCAAACGAGAAGTTGGCAAACACGCAAAACGCATATTTAAGTTTGGCATCTAAATTTTTGATGTTTAGGTATGTACTTAAAAACGAAAACGATGTGCAAAAAGTTAAAATCAAATTTATTCGCACGCAAAATGTCAAAAACATCTATACGCAAGTAAATTCATCCTAAATGCTAAAATTAGTTGGAACAAAAGCAAACGAATCACAACGGCGCGTAATCAAATCATCCGGTCTGCCACCGTGTACTTGTTCATTCCTTTGTCATCCCGCTTTGTCTCCATCCGACGTGTGCTGTTCACAACGCCGAATCGATTTGAAATCAACAACATGCCCCCGCTTCAGTACGAGTACTAATATTCCAGCGTTTCAAACGACAGATTTTTATTTCAAAACAACTTCAACGCGTGACAAAAATTTAATTAAAACATTCAAGTATATTCACATGATAAACCTAGCAGGTGTTGTTTTTGACTTAATTAAATTTAATTCAATTAAAAATTGGAAATTTAGGAGTTATCGTAACTCACCTAAATTCCGTTTGGAATTGGGCGTGATTGCCGGTTCGCCCGGATTTATATTCTCGCCGGGCGCCGCCACTTTAAACTATTTTCTTTTTTTCTTTAATAATGAACATATATCCCGCCACAATTAATTACAACAAACACTTTGAATTTACCCGCACATTACTGATTGTTAATGTAAATTAAAAAACTCATTTTATTCTCCAAGTAATTCGAAGTTTCTATGATATAGAAGTAAGTATTAATTCAAGTTGTGTAAAAGTTATCTTTGTTTTGGTACGTTTTTATGCAGTTATCTGAGATTATCTTCTCGCGAAAACGCGAGTTCTCTTCACGCAAGAGGCGTGCGCTCACATCGGAGTTCAGCGAGCGACTGACACGAGTTCGCCGAGGTGAGGGAAAGCGGAAAATTTCCCAGACTCCCTTTGAGCAGTCGCCAAACAAAATATTAATTTACTTTAATTTCAATCATTTTTTCTGTATGTACGCTAGTTATCGCCAATGTGGGATTATAGATAGAACATCAATAATTGATATATTTATGTGATATTTGGTTACATTAATGCATTAATGCCATTTATGTTTATTTGTGTTTGCACAAGAACAACACAACAATTAGATAGGTCAACAGGAGATGCCCGGCAGTCTGGCGCCGTCGTCGTTGCCAGGAGCCAGGGCGACAAGGACACAGAAGCTTGGCGTCAAATAGACGGGGATTGAACTATTACTTAACTGCCGCTCGAGAATCTAGGGATATTTGGTAGAATTTTACATTAGCGTTCATGGTATGTTAATTATAAATAAGTATTCGCAAAAATCAGAAAATCCAAATTATTTGATTTACATTTACTGAAATAAGTAAATTACCCTGAACTAACAGAACTAAATAACAAAAACAGATTGATGCTTGGAATTTCTTAACTCCTTTTCATTTAACTTGTATGATTATCTCGTGTCAAACTCGGCTCGGCACACTGGGTCAAAAAAATTAATGTAACCCCCTGCCAGCAAAAACACTTTACGAACACGCAAAACTAGGAAATAATTTATACGCTCTTCGAAGTACCGGTAGCGACACACATCTTATTTATTATTACCGCATTAGCTATCTGATTCCTAAACAGTATTCCCAACATATTTGCGGTATTATGAAAGTATTAATATATCTTTAGTCAAGTATATTCGCCAATGCTGCCGTATTCTGTTGACAGTTTGCAATGGTCTGGTGGAGGATATTGCAACAGGGTAGCTCAACTCTAATTAGAGGGTTGTATTGTAAACTTCTATTAAATACAGTGTCTTTTTTACTCGAATACTACTTCACTATTCAGCAACGATTACATTACAATTTACAAATTACATATTCAAATTATGGTGGCGTGCACACTGAGCGTACTACTAGCGCCACCTATATTTCAATTATTTAACAATTTCAAATGGCTTGTCAATGTTCATAAAACGGAGGGAAACAAAGCAACGAACTCCACTTGTACGAATGAAATGTAACCGTCAGCGTTTTTCAACGATTAAATATGCTTTCTCCAAGTTTAAAGTGAGTTGAAATCGAAATCAGACAAAAAGCAGGAATATAGATAATTCCTAGTGATCAAAGTGCTACATTTAGATTTGAACCAACGCAGGTAAATATTGTTGGGTTATTAGCGTCCGTTACATTTCAAAATTTATGTCTTTCAGACAACTGATTTCAACCTCATAATCGGTACTCTGTTCTTGAAATACCCATCAGGATGCCGCGCGACCAAAGAGCTTCAAAAACTCCAAACAAATCAATCTCTAAAGGTGGATCTAATCAAACACCTTTGAATAAATCTGCAACTAAGACTGACAAGCGAAGAACCCCAGCAAAATCAAGCAAAGGCTCAAGAACATCCGATTCTACAGTTGGTGTAAATCGACGCTCGTTAAATACTTCGCTAGAGAGTCCATACCCACAACGGGAAGTAAAATTGTCAAAAATAAATAGAAATAGAATTGTTAAATTGCAGTCTACCACTAACTTACTAATACCTCGTTCGGTATTTACTAGAGTTGTCAGAGAAATATCTCAGAATATGGGTGACTTTCGATTCCAAAGTCTGGCTATACTGGCATTGCAAGAATCTGCTGAGCAGTTTATAACAAAGCTTTTCAACAAATCTGACAGGTTGAGTGGACATGCAAAACGAGTGACTTTGAGACCAGTTGATATTAAGCTGTACATTCATATGCTACAAGATCATATTCCTGGCCTCGCAGCTGACTATTGAAGCGTTTTATATATTTCGTTTATTGTATGATTCAGCATTTGTGTTCACTTTTTTAATATGTATTTTATAACCATGACTAATAATTAATAAAATTAATCTTCTCAAACTCACCTTTATATCACTATATTTGGAACAGGACCCTTCTATTTCTTGATTTTTACAAATATCTCACTAATAACACTTGGGATATTATAAACAACTTGTTTTTTATTGCTTGTTGCTAAATATTCAACAATTATTTAACGATAAATACGTGTATGTAACAAATGTATTATAATTTAATTGATTCACTTGTTGATGCAACTTGGAAAAAATGTTTCCAGGTAATAATGTTTATCTTGAAGTTAACTTACGTAATATTAGTTTTGTTCGGTTTTTGTTTCGTTTAATTTTAGTACGAATTGAAATATCTTCTCTTCTGATTTATTTGTTTTAGTAAAAATAAATGTTATGTGGTATAAGTGACAACCACTGCTTTTATTGTATTTTCACAACCGATTTAGATATTTATATAGGAATGGTATTAAAAAGGTATTAAATTAGTATTTTTCCTCTTGACATTTGAATGATTAAAAGTTAAACATTTTGCTTATTATTCACTTGGTTTTTGATGATCGTGTTGATTGATTCAGCCAGTGATTATGATTATATTGTGTATCTAAATAAATTTTTATTGCTAGATGTTTGGGGTTGCTGTAGCACGATGCTGCAGGATTGCAATGTTGGGTTTGATTTGGAAGAACGCATGCGCAAAGTCTGGAGCAGCTGATAACCACTCGGGAAAGTCGGGAGTGTTTCCCGACTCCTCGACCTCGACGTCCTGGAAATCCATACGCTTGCACCTAGGAATGTTTGAATAATTTCTCGCCAATAGATGACGATAGGATAGCAGTTTGTGATGATAAATACACATTTATTTATTTTAAATCTCGTAATTCTCTTAACAGCAATAATTATATTTATAATATCAAATTTTCTAATGATTGTTGGTAATTTATTAGTTTTAGTAATCTCTAATTTTACGTGGATAACAATTAAATATCTCAGTGCCTTTTTAATTTTAATAATGCGTTGAATAATTTCCCCTCTGCTGCAACAATTATGTTGGAGTGGAATATAACAATGTTTAAAATTTCAGTTATTAATATGTTAAATTTCTAAAACAAAAGAATGAGGTAGGTATCTGTTTCTATTGCGATCATGGTACACAACGTTTATTTGTTTCGAATAAACTTGTTGCGGCATTTTATATTGAAATAATAAACCGCTATGTATTTCTTGGCACCTTTAATTCTGTCATCTGGTAGTAACTTTTAACTGCTAACTGACCAACTGTATCGTGATCTGGTATTCATTTTGCATTCATTTGCCATAAAAATATTGGTATTAAATGTTAAAAATACACTATTTTAATAAGACACTTTTGAATGCTTATTTTGTCTTATTATCTGTCATTTAAAACAAAGATTATATTATCAAAATATATTTTAGGGTGATCTTTAAAACTTACAAATTAAATAAACTTGATGCAAAGTGCGACATTTTCATCATACCGACAGTTGCAAGTCTTATTTGTATAAACTTCTTAAAAAGCAATCGTAACAAAATTAATGTGTTTAGTTTCTTCAAATTTCCTTGTTTTTTGGTGGTTTATTTGAGTTGCACCAACACCATGAAGTAGGTGACTACTGCACCAAGTACCTGAAAGTAACACATTTATGAACTAAGGAGCCTACTTAATTGATTTCCTGTTTCTTATTTTAACAACAGAGTAATTTTGTACAAATAAGGGCATTTAATGTGATTGAATCGCCAAACCCACGGTTATCTCCTATTTTACACTCAGAAAATTATATTTTTCTCATAACCTTCAGCTTATTTGTGTTTAAAAATGCCAAAATATGTCTATACTAACTAATATTTCAAAATTGATTCAATGGTTTGAGCGCGAAAAAGTCAACAAACTCAGATTCGCATTTATAGTATCCGTCACAATGATTATGAGAATATGATACAATGAACTTTTACATGAAAGGTTCTGATGATTGCATCACTTACCGAAGCAAAGAGATCCAAAGAAATTGTGAAGAACTTGGCGCCGGATATTGACATGGCTTTTTGACATTGTTGACAGACGATCTGGACGAAAGTCTTCGCTTCCTCTGAACCATCATACCAGTGGCAACTGTAAGCGGCTTCCATGACCGATGAGCTCTTGAAACATCAAGCAAATGTATAACAATTATTATTTACAATCTTGTTATAATTACTTCTTCAATGAGGCGGTTGCCAAAAATGCAGAAGAGAAATACTTGGGCAAGGGCGTAGAACAGATAGCCGAGGACAGTGGCGGCGTACTTGGTAACACCATCAATCTTTGTTGCCTGGTACGCAAGCAAAGTTAAGGTGATAGTCGAGGTCAACATGTGAAGCAGGAGGGCAATTCCATAGGCATCTCCAATAGCCGTAACCAATCTTCGGAAAAAAAAGAAAGATGAAAAAGTTGTGTTTTGGTATAAATACTTTTAATAGGTTTTATACACTACCTGACAACGTGCTTATGTCTCTCAACCCAGTATCTGATGGCAGAACGCACCATTAACTCCTGCTTCCTCGTGAGACCATTGGGACCAATCCCGCCACCATTCCCAAATTGCTGAAGTGCTCCCGAACGATAGTTCATTCCCATTTCCTGCTGAGTGCTGTAAATGCCCTTGAGGTCGAGGTCTTCGTTCTTCATGTTGTTGTAGTCTAAAGAATTGTTTAGAATTATCATAACGCATAATTTGTGCTAAAATTACTATCCTTACCATTTTCGACCAAATTGTCTTGTGAATTGGCACTTGCAGCTCTAAACAGTTCAGCACTTTTTGGAACGTAGGTGTCAAGCGTGGCAGAGAGTTCCATTAGAGGTTTCATGATCCCTTTGAGATGTTGCAATTGCTCACAGGCGAAGATTAACCAGGAGCAGAAGAGAACGTCCAGCAAGTTAGCGTGCAGCATTGAAAACAGCACGTAGTAAACCTATTGATAAACCAAATAACAAATAATATACTAACAAATTTCATGATATTTTTGGGTTACTTTATTATTGAAATCTTACCTGGTAGGCAAGAGACAGTACATATGGTAGTCCAGACATGGCATTCCAGGGATAAAATGAATTAATCAACAATCGTGGAATGGGCTCAGTAATAGTTTCATTCTCATTGTTGGGGTCCTTGTGAGTATGGGTACTGTCACCAACAAATGTAATTGCAGTCCAGCCTGTTTAAAAATAAATCTCTTCTTTGACAACTACTTCAAACCGGCAAAATTGAAGAGAGAAAAACTAAATAATTTACTTACAAACTGCACTAAAAATGGTTCCAACTAACACAATCATCAGCACTTGACGCATCTTCGTTAAGGAGATGCCGTGGTAACGATTGTTTGATTCTACGAACAACGGATGAGAATTGGGATTGTTCCAAATTCCTAGTGTCCTATGTTCAGATGTATACACAATAAGTTCAGAAATTTAAGAAAATTATTTGAAATGTTTTATTACCGATAAAAGAGTTTGGATCGGACAGCGAAATACACAAATTTGGTGATGCAATGGGTAAAGAATAGAACCGTGATGGTGTTTGCAGCTAAATCATTCACATCATCCATTTGCAATGCCAGATTGCCAAAAGTGAAGCTGAAAATAAATTTTACACAAAATTCAGTATTTCAAAATTATCTGTTATGTAAGTACATTTTTCTATAAAATATAAAATGTATACATGTTTGTAATTTTCATTTAAATATAAAAAAAAACAATTATGTATTATACCTTTATATTTTACTTTTAGCTTTTGTTATGATTAATTTTAATAGTTTCTTACATATTAACTTCTTTTTTAAGTTAATGTGCCAAAAAATATAAAATTTTATTTACTTTATGTTTTTGCAACATCAAACTTACCCAAACTGAGCTAAAACCAACAACAAATGCAAGCAGGAATAGCCAATCCTGAGAGTATGTAGCGCACCACTATTATCCGCATGATAATTGAACATAAAATGGCCGGCAGCTTGCATGAGCCTAATATTAGGCATGAGATCGGCCACAAGGCCCTGCACCTTAAATTCCATCATTTTGATCGCGTTGAAACTCAAACAATTTGTTGGTAATCAAATTTATTTCAGATTTTTTACACAAAAATATTAAAGAAAAATCCACACTTTTGAAGGCACTACATTCCTAGTGAAAAACAAGTCCACGTATTAAATGTTTACAATAAACATCCAAAGAAGGATTGTGATTCGAAATTCCAAATTCAAAACTTCAACCCGACCACATCGAGGTATCTCCTACGATGAACTGAAGTCCTTAGGAAATGGTTGTCACCTGCAAATCGCCCCTCACTCTCATCGCGAGGGTGTTTTTCCAGTGGTTTTTGGTGTGTGTCGTGGACCAATGAGGCGGTCCGATCGGTGTGCGACAGCGTGCACGTGCCACTTTTTGTGCACATCTCTGTCCATCGAAAGTATTGAAGATAGGAATATATCCATGGGGGTGGAACCACATGGCTGGTGTAGTTCACACGCGCCTTATAATTTGCTCCGAGCCATGAAGCTCATGAAGAATGCAAAGGAACTGCCCACGTACTTGATGGTGTAGATCCATGTTACCAGCCAGATTGTACTAGAAACCATGTTGGGGGATTGTAAGTTGGTTGGGGTTAACATTGAATGAGGTATTGGATCTTCGAGTGAAGGTGGTTTGAAAGTTAAGGATGTACCTGTGTCGGCTTCATAGCAATGTTGTATTAATATGAAAATGATGAGAAAATCTATAACAGCTAATCGAAGTTAATTGGTGGGCAGTTGAAGCATTAGCTTATCGGAAAATTGAAGTATTTTGCTGTATGCTGTGGAAATTCTAGAATGTTACTCGTGTTTCTCAGTCTATAATTTTTTATCAAGGGACGTAATATGTTGTAATTTTTATTTTATTAAACATCGCGTTAGTTTTGTTAGGTTAACTTAGGTTAGGTTAGGTTTTTTTATATGTACTATGTGCAAATTTAAACAGTGTTAGATGTTGTTGGTCAACTTCTGAAATAGCCTTGTGCTATAATTTATCACACTGTTGATTAGCGTATATGCCAAATGGTAAAAGTTTTTCTTTTTTTCTTTTACTGAGCTTGCAGAGAAGCAAATAAAATAATGCTCCCAACCATAACAGAACAATGATCTTACCGTAAATACAACATCTATAAATACTCTTATTTTATTAATTTTAAATTACAAAAAACTTCGCATCGTAGTAGTTTTCGTGTTGCACCTACAAATCAAAATCACAATTAATATGGATAGCAATAAAAGTTGTGTTAAGAAAACTTTGTTAATTACAAATTATAATAATGGAATAAATACTACTATTACAAACATTTTTGAATATCTTTAAAATTTTTATTTCGAAAGATAGGAAAAATTTATTTTGTACTAATTATCGAAACATGAAAAATTTGATAATGCCCATTTACAAATCATACGTTGTTTACAAGTGCACGGAAAAAATGAGAAAAACATTTAAACTGAAATTTTTAAAATTTAAATTATGTTCCCAATTTTCACCAGTATCAGAGTATAATTATAAGTGCATTTCATGAATTGACAAGTTAAAAATCGAAAAAATAAAGTTTGTTTAATTACATGCCTATTTATATTTGACTGATTTGGCTAAATTTTGGTTTTTAGTTTTATAAGGAAAATGTTGAGAATTTCAATTCAAGAAAGAACATTATGATTTGTTAGACAACTTTCCAATTTCAAACAAACTCAGTTATATTGTTATATTAGAGTAATGATAAAAAAAATCCTCAAATATTTTTTTAAAGCGGAGATTATACATTTATATATTGTACATGTATACATATTTATATAATTAAAACCGCTCCTACTTTTTTGTCCTGTTTTATAATACAAAATCTGAAAACAAAACCAAAACAGCAACGTTTTAAAAAATAAAATAGGTTTATAGTTTTTAAACTTATATTTTATCACAGAGGAACTGCAAGAAATGATGTTTTTATCGGTCATTTTAAGGTTATTCTTTATCGTAACTAATCAAATAAACTTCTTTAGTATTTTGTAACACTTATTATGAAACGGGTTTAATGTTGATGATTGAA